TTTTTTTTGGCCTTTTTTTTTTTTTTTTGAAATATTAAGTAAAAATGTCTGTACTGAGATTTAATGAAAAGTCAGTGGCTTGTAATGTTTTATTTTTTTCTCTCTGTATATCTCTTTCTCCTCATAGAATGTGATTGTTAAATGACATGCACCGAAACAAATGTTTTCATGAACTATGGAGCTTCTTTCAAATATTAATAAAATAGCTTTTTTTCTTGGCTGTTAACAATGTGCCATTTGGTTATTTGCTGTTTGTCTCTCTGCTTTCGTTCCACCGTACCGAGAAGAGGTGAGAAATAACCTCTCGCTCTCATCTTCTGCTGTATGAGTTGGCGTCATTTCCTGTTTGCTGCACCATTAACTCATTGCCAGAAGTCACGTCATGCTCTGAGAGCAAGCTGTCTCGGACAGGCGTAATAGTTGTCCTGTGGTTGTCGGATGTTGGGGTTAGCATACACAGGGAAGTTGACTTCCTCCAGGTGTGCGGGGGGGTCCTCGTGGTTATTTTGGGGGATTCCAGCGCTCTGCTGCTTCCTGGTCATTTCCTCATAGATAGGAGCAGAAGATTGTGGTCTGCGATGACTCCTTGTCTTCACCTACAACACATCATAACATTATGTCTTACTTGTTCAGAAATCAATTTGTGTTCAGTATAAAAAAAAATATCAACAAGCTTCTGCATTTAATATGTATGTCTATTTATGCTCAAGGCTTCAGTCTCTGGTATGTACGGTATTTGTTAATTTTGTTGCCTTTATTGTGAAAAATGAATCCAAGGTAACCTCTTAAAACCTCATGTTTTGTCCGACATACTCTCCAAAACCAAAAGATAATCAGTTTACAATAATTAAAAAGTAAGATGACCATCAAGTGTTTATATGTGTGAAGCTGAAAGCAGAGGATGTTTGCTTCAGAAATGATTCATTTGTTATTAAAACTGTTGAAGATAAACTTTCTTTTCAATGTTTGTGCATGTTTAATAGTGTAATGCCACCTGAGATTCTATTCCTGCAGAACAGCAACTTTGTCTTTTCTGAGAAAAAAGACACAAATGCATAAAACTATACAACCTCTCTTGTAACGGCCTGTGTTCCTGATCAACCTGAGACCTCTTCTTAGTAACAGTAGATATGAAAGCAAGATTTAAAACACCCAACAGCAAAGTATAAAGGCTTGTTTTAGACTGCAGGATGTTTTGATTGATCTTGCTCCTGAGGCTGAAGTGACTACTTGTGACTACTATTATTCTTTATGCTTATTCACTTTCTGGGTATTTCATATCAGCTTAAAGAATTTCTTTTACACTTTAAATAATGTCAGATTTTATGACTCATGCAATCCCAGCGGTAATTATCAGTCTTTAGTTGCCTCGAAAACTCACTCACTAAAACAGACTTTAGAACAGTTTGTCAGGCCTCTATTAAAGCTGACACATTAATTGATAGTATTCAACTTGTATAGCTGCCTTTGTCATTTTGATTTACAGCTGTTGTTGCCTGAAAAGCTGCATCAATCAGAAATACTGCAAAATTAAAGAAAACAGGAGAACTTTGACACAGAGGCAAACAACTGCTGCAAAAAAACTAAACAACATAACAAACCTTAGAAATGATTCATCGAGTTAAATCTGCATCTCTGCTGAGTGAAATATGTTGATGTGTAAATACTCACACATTTCTCTATGGCCACCCAGCTGAGAATGAGTAGAAGAAGCCCTGCTGCTGTAAAGATGGTCAAGAGCAGAGGAGGGTAACTGCATGGGCATGACCTCCCTGCACCACGAACACAAAAATACACATTACAATCTGAGCAACAGTTTAGGTTTAACTGTGTAAGAACTGTATCGCTCGAACCACATACCTGTCCCTTGAACCAACAAGAAAACCTTTTGATCGCCGAGTTTGCCCTGGTCTAAGCTGTTCTCCTCTCCGTAGCTCAGCTCCCACATGTAGAGTCCCGTGTCACTGGTCTGTAAATGGGATATGGTCACATTGACCCGCGTGGAATCCAGTCCTCCACGGAGCTGCAGACGCCCCCTGTGGTCCGGACTGACCCTGAACTCGCTGCCCTTAGCCATTGACAGAAGGGTTGTCTGGCTCTGGGCACTGCGGTGGTAAAGGTGGAGGCCCGTCGGGCTGCCGTGGTCCTGATGAGGGGAACAGGAGAGCTCCAGTGACTGGCTCTCTGTCAGCTCCCTTAACATCAACTCTGCATAGCCTGGAGAAAAAATGTGTTTCAATTTGTAGTAAATAAAAGTGGTTATTGTCATGTGGCATAGTTCTATGTTTTCAGTCCACCACGTTGATCCAGACTGAAATATCTCTACAGTTATTCGATGGATTGTCATTCAGTTTTGGACCGATATCTGTGATCCCCAGAGGATAAATCCTACTGACTCTTCCTCAGCTATTGGATTGATTACCATTGAATTTTGTGTAGACATTTGTGGTGTCAAGAGGAAGAATCCTAATGACTTCTTATGAAGTTAGTGGTTTTGAGTGATATATCTCAACAACTATTTGATGGTTTGTCATGGAATTTGATATATATGTTCATATATGTCACATATGTCTCCCCCCAGGATGAATTGTAATAAATTTGGTGATCACCAGAATTGTCAATGGGGGGCTGGAGCTGATTCCAGTTTACATTGGGTGAAAGGTACAGTGGGTACCATCAACATACAGTATATCAAGATGGACGACAGGACAGTTCCCCAAAAGGGGAGCCAAGCGTCACCAGTGCAAGATGGCAGCAGCCTTATTCGGTACACTGGGAGAAACAGGAGACGCGATGTATGTCGTTGGACAGACCCAGCCAATCACAGGGCTGACAGATAGAGACAACAATTATACAACAATAGAGTCGCTTAACCTGTATGTCTGTGGCCTGTGGGAGGAAACCCACACAAACATGGGGAGGACGTACAAGCTCAACACAGAAAAGCCAGAGTCGGAAGGTGGGTTCAACTAACACTGAAACTCATAAAAACTAAACATTTTTAGACAATAAAAACTAAATTAAAACAAGCAAACGTACTCTGGAAACTCACTAAAATTAAACTGTATTGAAAACAAAAATTAAATCCAAAATATAAATTAAATCTAATGAAAAATACAAAACTAAAATACAATACTATAATAGCCACTGCAGGTAGGGTGTGGATGACGATTGTGCAGCGGAGTGGAATAAATACAAATCATTTAGGGGAAATACAGTTTATAGTGCTGACCTTTATTTCACTAAAAGTTCACTTGGATCCTTTTTTATTAGTTTTGGTTCCCCTATCATTGTTAAGGTTTGCTATAAACTGTGTGGAGTGGGGTTTTTTGGAGTTTTTTTGGGTGTTTTTAAATTTTGAACCACTGGCCTCAGTACAGAGCCAGCAGGCCTGCAACCAAAGCCAGACAACTGCGTCTATTATATCTCCCAGTAAATAAACACAAATAAGACTGTCTACACATTAAAACTAGATGGAAAAAAGTCATAAATTCGTAAATTCGCCTAGTTTTTGTAAAATGTGAATTTTTTCTTACCTTCAAAGATCTGAATGAAAATCAGAATGCATGCCAACCACGTCTTCATGGTCTTTTCAGTTATAAAAGCTCAAAGATATACCAAAGCAAAGTCATACTGTACTCCTCCTTCCTTCAGTCTCTTGTGAGCCCTTGCGGACAGCCTCACTGCATTTATTGTTCTCCAATTCAAAGCAGGAAGAGGACTTCAAAGCAAGAACTGCCGTTAAAATGCTGTGGTTGGTCTCATACACACTGAGATTGTCTGAATGTATCAGACTTAAACCCCTCAGGATCCACACCCCTTATCTATAAAATGAAACAAAACTGTAATATTAAACTAAATATTAAATTTGTAAGAAATATAAACATTGTTCCACCACTACAGTTCTTTAATCTAACTTTGAATTGAGGGCTTTGTTACAGTCTGATAGTGTGTAAAAGATATGAGGTATATCTCTTCTGGCTGCTTTCAACAACCCGGTTATGATATTATAAAAAAGGAGGATATAAGAATATCACTTTCACTTTGTGTCACCCGGTATGTCTGGTGTGCACAAGATCAGTCTGAAGGTGCGGTTCACAGTCAAGTCATCACTTGCAGAGGGACTCTTTATGATTGCTGATATCAGTGGTTACATAAACCACAAGACTAAGATGGAGAACATGCATGTCTGTAGATAAATGGACTGACTGACTGTTCAGTACAGCCCTGCAGTACATAAGCCTATATAATAAATAACTGCATCTTTTCAAAGCTTATAATGTTAAATGGTCTATTTTTATTGTTTTTAAGACACAGAAAACAGAGCTCTTGATGAGTAAGACAACACAAAATATGAATTTGGTGCAACAATATATGTGACACAGTACAATTATATATGTTTAACCCAATGAGAAAATGGAAGAAATAAAGAATACATCGAAGAAGTAAACAGATAAATAGTAGTAAAGATAATTATACAGAGAAGTGTTTTTAATATCTGTTCCGGGTGAAGTCCAACATAACACTACCGCTATCAGAGTCATATTTTTTTATGTTACATGTTTACTTTTTCAACTGCAAGTCAAACAAGTTTAGACGTGAATGTTAAATGTAATTTATACAATCAAATAAATACTGAGGGAGCTTTTATTGTTCACAGAAACAAAACATTATTCTCTACACATAATACAAGGATACCAGAGTATTTCTTTTCAAATAAATATGAATTAATAAATCAATATAAATATATATGTCAAAAAACACACTACTACTTTTATTCAAGCTGAACTGGAACTTGTAAAGAACAGAAAAGCTAATGACTGCTGGGTATTTTGGTCTATTAGAAAATAGCAGAGGCCTGTTAATAGGTGTTAAAAAAAGGTTCCTTTTCATTTTTAAGCTTAAAGGCAGCAGGGTGAACACCTACAGTGGTCAGTGTGCAAGCAGCCATGACAGTAAACCTTTACTAAATACCAACTACTGTAGCTGTGCTTTTATAAGGTCAGTTTGGATCTATTTTAATTTCTGTATTGATTTCCTTATGTATTTTTAATAGTGTGATGCACTGTAGCACTATGATATGTCTATATAATATGTGTGAATCTTTAAACATTTATATCTGGTGTCATATTAATCAGATGTGTGAGTTTAGTCTCAGCAGATATTAGCTGATTAGCAGATGATCAGACTCAGGTGTGCAGTGTTGCTCTGATGAGGCTGATTGTCTGCAGAGACTTTAAAATGCTCCACTGCTCAGAACGGGTCGCTGCCTGGTGGGTTAGATAAGAGCCTTTTGCATTCTAGATCAGGTTGCTGTTTTAAGTTACATTAATGGAGCCCCTTTGTGTTAACCTCCTCGCTGGACTCTTGTTGTCAGGACTCTGCGTTAGATCGTCTTTTGCTTTTCCACCCGAGCATTACAGACAACAGTTTCAAAGGCCTCAGGTCAACAAACACACTGCGCCTGAGCAGCCAAAGGGTCCAGCTGAAGAACGAGAGCCGTTGAATACTATCCGACTGACCTGCTATCCAGACTCACTGGGGATTGTTATCGAAGCTGATATGTTTGGAGTTGGGGCTCCTGTTGATAGTGCTGACTTGCGCCTTGGAGTGGAACACAATGATTTCTGTAGAGCGACAGCGTCTTCAGGAGATGAGTACAGAATAATTGTTGGACTAATGGACTGTGGCACCAAACACTGGGTAACGGTATATTTTATTGTAATTCAAATACTTGACATCCACTTTTACCTCTAGTTCTAAACATTTCTACTCTCATAGATGACTGAAGACTCTCTGGTCTACACAAACCTCCTCCTATACTCTCCTGAGGCCTCTCCAAGTGGGGTGATTCGCATGGATGAGGCTGTCATTCCCATTGAGTGTCATTATGAAAGGTATGTCTGCCATATTTAAACCTCATCTTTAAAGATTTCTTCACAATAGCTCACTTTTTTTTTTTTTTTTTTTTAAAACCAAATGCTTGTTTTGTTCCTTAGGAAGTATAGCTTGTCCAGTTCTTCACTCATACCCACCTGGATCCCCTTCACGTCTACACAAGCTGCAGTGGAGACCTTGGACTTTAACTTGAGAATTATGACAAGTGAGTTTCAGTAAGTTCTCACGGTTTGTTTGTCTTTTTGTTTGTCTTTATCTGCGCTTGCTACTCTTTGATTTTTGTGCAGATGACTGGCTTTATGAAAGGAGCTCTAATGTGTTTTACCTCGGCGAGCCCATCAGCATCGAAGCCTCCGTCAGGGTTGGACATCACATGGGGCTCCGAGTGTTTTTGAGCAGCTGTGTGGCCACACTCCACCCAGACATGTACTCCATTCCCAGATACGTCTTTGTTGAAAATGGGTAAGCATTTGAAAAACTTGAAGGCTGCAACTTGATAAATTAAGGGGGGAAACTACCAATTGTACCTAATTAATTAAAGCTTGTTTCCAGATATTTGATTAGGTTATGTTTGTCATCCCTCTAGTGATATCACTTGAGTCAGCCTCTGTTTGAGCTTAAGACAAAGTTTGAAAATGGGGTAAAATTGTCATGGTCAAGACTGGCTGTTTCTAAACAGTCGTTCTTAATGCCTGTCACTTGTCGGATTCCTCTTGAAATCAATGAAACAAGCCAGTAGGCTGCTTTTGTCCACAGGTTTTGCCAGAATCAACGCAAAAGTTCCTTGTAGACGCTTTAAGTTTAGAAGCATGTTGTAAATACTTTATGCCTCTTTTAGGCTGGCTATTGAGTGATTACATTAACATTTAAGAGTGTTTGGACAACGCTGCAGTTGTCAGCTCTTCTCCCTTTTGAACTACCGAGCCATTTAATGAATGTTCAAATGAACTGCTTTTTTCCCCTCCCCCTTATGACTTTAGAAATGGCAGTCCATTTATGTGGCCTTACAAACCAAATTACTAATATGTTGCGGCATCAAAATGTCTTTTTAAATTACAAAGAACAGAGTGGATCTCTTGACAAAGGTTAGCCATAACTAGCTGGAGGGCCGTCACTGCAGTTTTATCATACTTCCCCCATAAATTACAGATTTCTGTTTAAAATGCATTTCATAGTCAGATTAGTCTTTAATACGTTTTGACAAAATATAAACCATTTTGGCGTTTAAGGGATTGTGTGTAATACAGGCACCAGTTTTGGTAAGGAAGGAAAAAAATGGACAATCTCTGGTTCTGCTGCTTCAGTTTTGACTTTTCTTGTAACTAGCAATCATGGGTACAATAATATGAAGAAACACCCTTAAAGGACTATGTACAGTAGTTTTGACTTCATTTATCCCTTCATAGGTGCTTGGTTGACTCCAAGCTTCCCGGTTCAAAGTCACAATTCTTACCCAGGACACAAGATGATAAGCTCCAGTTGGTCATTGATGCCTTCAGGTTTCATAATGAGGACAGAGGAGAGGTGAGGCCGTACTGAACATTTAGGGGAAACTGCACATGTGCATTTTTGTTTTTTCTCAAACACTTGCCTTTTTATCTTTACAGCTCTACATCACCTGTCACCTGAATGCTGTAGAGGCTCCAGCTGAGGCGTGCACTCTTGTAAATGGAAGGCAAGTGCTATAAAGTCAAATGCTCAAATAAAATCTGTAAACAGGGAAATATGTGTGCTGACAAATGACAATCATTCTCAGGTGGAAGTCTGCTGACGGTAATGACTACTTATGTGGGCATTGTCAAAGCAAAAATGAAGTTGGCCAAAGCAAGCCCAGCAGCCCTGCCAAGCTTGGTCCTCGTGGGTTTGGGAAGGAATCTGAATCCTTCTGGAGGAGCGACCTGAAGACAGATAAAGGTAGGATTTATTTTTATTTTTTTGTATAGAAACAAATGAGAGTCCATTACTGGCTGGGACTGCATGTGCCTACTCCAGAGGGTCATCACCTGCAACCAAGACCAGACAAAATTAGATGAGTAGTTCATGTTTTTCACCATTAGATGTCAGGCTTCACACATGGTTTTTAAACTTTAAAATGTCATCATACTTGTCTATAGTGTGGGAACAGGAGGCAAATGTGGGTCCAATGCTCGTTCTACCCGCCATGCAGAAAAGTGGGCCTATACCTGTGGATGAGCTTCCTCCTGTTGGTAAAATTGGCAGACCTGCGTTGTACGGCAGCCAGTGGAGAAGTGGAATAAATGACAGAAGAGCTGGTAAGAGTTCAACTTTAAATTAAGAATGAGACAATTCTCTTTGCTAATTTAGACCCTTTTTGACAAATTCTCTACTCAGGTTAGTTATAAAAAATTTCTCAAAGATCTTTGTTAAAACTATTTTTATCCTAGACCTGGCAAACGGACTTCAATCTACACCGGAGCAGGTGGAGGTTCAGACTTCTGCTTCTGAACAGGATGAGGACCTCAAAGGTGTAACAGATCTAACGGGTAACGTGAAGACTTTCTAAAATGTTATTTGACACGTGTGGGTTTTGTTTTTACAAAAATATTTCTCTAATTGCAGACGAAGATGCAGACAGTGAAGTTGAGGCACCTCTAGTGAAGGCAGCTGCTGTGGTCACCTTAAAATCAGAGACTGAAATGGTGGAAAATAACAGCACAGCAGCCCTCGGCGACATCGGCTCCACTGATCAGGTCACAATGGATGTGACATTACTGTCAAATGCAACTGCTACAGACTCTGACCTTTCACAATCAAATGACCCAAAGAGATAATAAACAATTAAAACTATGTTTGTTTGCTTTTTGATTTGACTGCACATGATTTAATGGCTGTATGTACAGAAGTCTGAATGTAAACCAGCTGATCCTCTGGCAGGTGAAGGTGCAGTATGAAGTGGAACAAATGATATTAAATACGGTCTTAGATGGTGCTGTTAATGCACAAAATAAAGTGTTTATTTTTGTTACCAACTGCTGAAAATATGACGAAGTATTTAGGTGCTGCCAGTATAACAAGTTAAGATAAATGTATTTACACACACTTTATACAAAGGCTAAATCTAAAATGGTGATCTCACTGTCAAAGCAGAGGGATATGGCGCCACCTTGCTGAATGTTTACAATGAATGCAGGTCAGACATTAAAAGAAACAAATGAAATTATAATCAAACTCCGATATCCCACCAACATCTTACCCTATCATTCCTCCCAG